GCAAACCGGGCCTTCCTTCCTCAGAAAGGGACGCGTTCCCTGTGCCTATAAAGTGGTCCCACGTTGCCTTCTGTGCGGAGCTCACTGGAGACGGTCAGTCCTGGGCATGGTCTGCTCAGCACAGAACTGCCCAAAGCCACCCACTCTCCAACCCAGACTGCCATTCCCCTAACAGTCGGCGCTAATCCTGCCCCGGCACTTGAGGGGTGCGACTTCATAGACACGTCACAAGGAGAGCACGTCTGTCTCCTATTGGGCCTGGGATGTGCAGAGGATGAGCATGTCTGTCTCCTATTGGGCCTGGGATGTGCAGAGGATGAGCATGTCTGTCTCCTATTGGGCCTGGAATGTGCAGAGAGTGAGCATGTCCGTCTCCTATTGGGCCTGGGATGTGCAGAGGATGAGCATGTCCGTCTCCTATTGGGCCTGGGATGTCCAGAGGGTGAGCAGGTCTCCTATTGGGCCTGGGATGTGCAGAGGGTGAGCACATCTGTCTCCTATTGGGCCTGGGATGTGCAGAGGGTGAGCACATCTGTCTCCTATTGGGCCTGGGATGTGCAGAGGGTGAGCACATCTGTCTCCTATTGGGCCTGGGATGTGCAGAGGGTGAGCACATCTGTCTCCTATTGGGCCTGGGATGTGCAGAGGGTGAGCATGTCTGTCTCCTATTGGGCCTGGGATGTGCAGAGGGTGAGCATGTCTGTCTCCTATTGGGCCTGGGATGTGCAGAGGGTGAGCACATCTGTCTCCTATTGGGCCTGGGATGTCCAGAGGGTGAGCAGGTCTCCTATTGGGCCTGGGATGTGCAGAGGGTGAGCACATCTGTCTCCTATTGGGCCTGGGATGTGCAGAGGGTGAGCACATCTGTCTCCTATTGGGCCTGGGATGTGCAGAGGGTGAGCATGTCTGTCTCCTATTGGGCCTGGGATGTGCAGAGGGTGAGCACATCTGTCTCCTATTGGGTCTGGGATGTGCAGAGGGTGAGCATGTCCATCCCCTATTGGGCCTGGAATGTGCAGAGGGTGAGCATGTCCATCCCCTATTGGGTCTGGGATGTGCAGAGGGTGAGCAGGTCTCCTATTGGGCCTGGGATGTCCAGAGGGTGGTGAGGTCCTGTTTGCAACGTGTACAGGCCGCTGGTCTGGCCAGGAGTGTGAAGTACGACTCAGCGAGACATTGCCCCTCACCACCCGGTTCAGAGCTGAGACAGAGTCCACGGAGACGTGAGGCCCGTGGGGGCAGGTGCTCTGCTAGGCTGGGAAGTGAGGCCTGATGTCTGTGCGGCTGTGGCCTGGAGGATGGGGAGGCTTGGACCACCTCTCCCTCCACTCTGCTCTCGAGAAGAAGGGCCCCTATCCAGTGGACGGACAGTCCCCGCTCTCCCCGGGCAGTGGCCCCGGGTCCTCCCACAAGCCCGTCACATGCTGAGGCGGACCCTGATCTCCAGCCCTGCCCTCACCCTTCCTGGTGGCCTGTGTGGCCTGGCCGCTGTGCGGGGTCCCGTGTGTCTGGGGGCGAGTGTCTAGCTGTCCCGGACCGTGGGCAGGACTCTCTCAGTTCATGCGTGGGAGGCGGTGATGACGGGGTGTGCCAGGCTGGGGGGGGGCGGGGTTGCTACAGGTGGTTCGAGTGAGACACACCCGCCTGAGCACGCATGTGAAGTCGCATCTGTGATCTTTATTGATCGCACAGGGAAGTCATTTTGGGAGAGAGTGTATCCAATAGACATTAACATTTTCTGGTGCTTTCGTTATTTTAGAAGGAGTGTCCGTTGGACTCGCCAGCATGCGTCCTTGCTGCCACTTAATTCTTTCTGGGCCGCTGTTTGAATACAAACAAAATGTGGTTCTGGGTGCAATTTGTAGCATCATTTTTTGTTCTTGTTAATCCTCACCTGGGATTTTTTTCCATTGATTTTTTTAGAGAGAGTGGGAGGGAGAGAGAGAGGAAGAGAGAGAGAGAGTGAGAGAGAGAGAGAGATATGATTGGTTGGTTGTCTTCCACACACGCCCCAACTGGGGCCGGGGATCGAACCTACAACCAGGTATGTGTCCTTGACCAGGAATCAAACCCAAGTCCTTTCAGTGTGTGGGCTGATGTTTCAACCATTGAGCCACACCGGCCATGGATGTAAGATCATTTTTAGAGACTGGTGTTGGACAAACATCTATATATATATAGAGAGAGAGCCAGGGGCCGTCACATCTGAAACAACCGAACAGATAATCGAACAGGCTGAGTAGGGTGACCAGGCCGGCAGGGAGGTTAGTGAGGGACGACCAAATGACCGAGCAGCAGGCTGTGTGGGGTGACCAGGCTGGCAGGGGGGCAGTTGGGAGTGACCAGGCCAGCAGGGGGGCAGTTTGGGGTAATCAGGCCAGCAGGGGGGGCAATGAGGGGCACCCAGGATGGCAGAGGGTGGCAGTGAGGGGTGACCAGGCTGGCAGGGGGGGCAGTGGGGGCAACCAGGTTGGCAGAGCGGGGCAGTGACGGGTGACCAGGCCAGCGGGGCGGGGCATTTAGGGGCAACCAGGCCAGCAGAGGGGTCAGTGGGGGTGACCAGGCCAGCAGAGGGGGGCAGTTGGGGGCAACCAGGCCGGCAGGAGGGGGCAGTTAGGGGTGATCAGGTTGGCAGAGGGGCCAGTTAGGGGTGATCAGACAGGCAGGAAGGTGAGCAGTTAGGAGCCAGCGGTCCTGGATTGTGAGAGGGATGTCTGACTGCCAGTTTAGGCCTGATTCCGGGGATCGGGCCTAAACCATTAGTCAGACATCCCCCAAGGGATCCTGGATTGGAGAGGGTTCAGGCTGGACTGAGGGGATCCCCTCTCGTGCACAAATTTTGTGCACCAGGCCTCTAGTATACTATATTATAATGCAAGCTATTCATGAAATGCTGTCCCTGCCTTTGTCAGTGTGAAGGAACCAGTGACTATCTTTGAATCAGACAATTGGAACAAAGGAGGGAAAAGGAGAAGGCACCCGTTTGCTCAAAGGTTTTAGAAAGTTCTTCGCAAGTTTAAAAAGCATGTCATTGCAGACCGAGAGATATAATTTATTTATTCATTTATATTTTTTAAATATATTTTTATTGATGTTAGAGAGGGAGAGGGAGAGAGAAATTGAAACATCAATGATTAGAGAGAAGCATGTGCCCTTGACCAGAATCGAACCCGGGACCCTTCAGTCTGCAGGCCGATGCTCTTTTCACCGAGCCAAACCAGCTAGGGCTAGAATTTATTTAAAAGTTCAAAGAATTGCATATATTAAACATTGTGTCTGTAATTCTGAAGTAGCCAGTGAATAAAAATAGAAAAATCAAAACATTCCAAAAAATTTCCTGATTTATCATCATTTTCTCTGGCCCAGGGCCCCCCTAAGCAGTTTACTGAGATGAAGAGAATTACACAGTTAGACTTTACTTTCTGGTCTCCATCATCAACCTTAGTAAGAGGAATGTGCGTGCTGATTGACATGAACCATGGAAATGGGCCGGTTGGATTTGGGGGACTTTCGCTCTCAGATACCTGTAGGTCGGTGAATGATACTGTTTACATCATTTAGAAAAAAAATGAAAAAGTGTGCAGAATGAGTTTTATTCTTAAGCAATCTGGTGGTGAACTGTGCTTTGAGTTAGGTGAATGTCGCTTAATATGAAAAATATCTCCTGTCTTCTATAAATATATCTGATATCCCATTTGGAAAAACAAAAAACAAAAAAACTACCCTAATTTCTAGCTCCGGAAAGAAAGGAAGCTATATATATAAAAGCCTAAGCGACAGAATGACCGAACGACCGGTCGACCAGTGGCTATGACACGCACTGACCACCAGGGGGCAGACACTCAATGCAGGAGCTGCCCCCTGGTGGTCAGTGCGCTCCCACAGCCAACCCCCCGGGCTGGCCAACCTCCCGCGGTCCCTCCCCACAAGGGACCCCACCCATCCATGAATTCGTGCACTGGGCCTCTAGTTAGAATATAAACTGGAGGAACCAGTGAACCAACCAACGCAGTGTTGGCTCTGGGCCCACAATCCCCCTGGTCTGTGGGCATCCGGGCGCTGCCGGCACCCGCTCCCCCAGTGGCCAGGCTGAGAACTGGGGTCTCTTGGCGGACAAAGAAAAGTTGGCGATTTCTGTTCATCGTGCCCAAGCGAAACCTTACATTTCTTTTCTTTTTTTTTTGAGCGGGGGGAGGGAGAAAGATCAAGAGCCTCTGGCTGCCATGGGAAGATCAGGAAGGAGCATCTGGGTGAATTCTGAAATAAAACAGGTAGAAATCCTTGATTCTCCCTTAGATCTGACTTGAATCACCCGCTTAAAATAAAGCACAAATAATAAAAAACAAAGGTCTTCCGTGTCCTCCGAAGACACTGAATCCTGTGGAGCAGTTTCTCAGGTTACAGGGAACGATCTATTATTTCAGCCCCAGGACAGCCCGGGGCGGGGGGACGGGGGGCAGGAGGATGGGCAGGCGGTCCCAGAGGAGCCGTGTGACGTGCGTCCTGCTGAAACGTCACCTTCATGTGTCACTGAGAGATGACAGGCTGCCACGTACCTTCAGTCACAAAACAGGACCAAATCCCAGTGCCCGAGCCTGCCCTCGGCACGGAGAGGCACCTGCCACGGCCACAGGTAGGGCCCCTTCCCAGACGTCCCGTGTGGGTGAGGGGGGAGAGCAGAGCACTGAGCTTAGAGAAGCTGACGGGAAAGAGGTAAGTTTCAGCTCACAGGTATATTTAAATGGGCGGGAAGCACGTGCCCTCGTGCACAGCGCCTGCACGGCACACAGCAAGCCGCACTTCCACGGCCAACGTGCGCGGCTGCGAAGGCGCAAGGGCCCCCTGGACCCGTAAACATCCCTCCCCTTATCCGTGTGTCCTGTTCCCCGTGGTAGCGGCCCAGTCCATAGACCCACCACCCCTGTCCGGGCAGGCTGCCTGGGCTGACAGCATGGATGGTTTGCATCACATGGAGACGCTCCCACAAACCCGCTGAGAGCTCAGAGTCTGTAGTCTCGTCGCGTTTTCTGAATCTCTGACGGGCGCTGGGGACCCATGACGCCCGGGGATGCCGTGCGCCTGGTCAGGGTCAGCTCGTCCGGCCAGTGAGGGTGCTGCAGCCGGTCCCTCCTCAGAGGACAGATGGAAGCAGAGGCTCCAGCCTCACGCGGTCAGTGAGCTGCGGGCGCTGATGGAGGAGGGACAGGGACAGGCCTGCGGGCTCACACACCCAGTGACGCCGCTCAGAGCGAGGCAGGGGCCACCCGGCCTCCCTCACAACAAAGCACGGAGGGAAGCAGAGCCCTCCACTCGGCCCTTCACTCAGCCTGGCTCACAGCAGCCTCAGTCCTGTCTCCCGCCCAGGACTCTAACCTGTCCCTCGCCCACGGTCAGGGCTCCGGGTCACCGAGTCCCTGAAGCCAGAGCCACGGGCTGTGCTGGGATCCCCGCCCGGAAACTCCCCGCAGCTCCCACAGGCTGGTGCCCGTGACTCCGCTGCCCGCAGATGTAGGTTTCACGTGTGGAAAGGACGGGAGGGGGCTTGGCCACAGTCCCTCCCCAGGGCACGCGTGAGCTGAGGGCCTCGGCGGGGCTGGCGTCCTCTGGGCGGCGGGTGGCGTCGCGGTCCAGCCCGCGGGCGATACCTGGCCTTCTGCAGCTCTTGGCGCAGCCAGGCCGGCAGGGGCTGCACGAGCCGGTGCAGCAGCCGGGACAGCTCCACGTTGTGGTCCCGGTAGTAGCCGGACAGGAAGGCTCTGGCCTGCGAGGCAAAGGGAGAGAGGAGGCTGAGCGTGTCCCGTGTCCTGAAAAGAGGCCACAAGGCCTGCTCCTCGAGGGGCTTGTGACAACACAGGTGTCGGCAAAGATGCTTCTCTCTGTGCGTCTCCTTGGAAGTCACTCATTTTCACCTGTTGAAACTGTTGGGGGCAGAAGAGAATATGGGGGACCCGCTGCAGTGATCAGAACTGTGGGTCCTGCTCCGTCACCGTGATGGCTCTGCTCTGGGCAGAAGCACTGCCTCGCCCGGCTGGGAGCCGCCGCCTGGGCCCGGGCAGCCCCCCTGGGAACGCGGCCCATCCTCCTTCCGGAACCGCCCGTCACGATGGAGGGACTCACCACCTCATGGCCGAGACGACCTAGTCCCGGGGGCACCTTCTCTTTCCACCCCGGTCCCTCCTGCCTGTGGTCTGGTCCCGGGTGCCTGGAGGTTTCCCCTCTGTGACCCCCCCCCAGCATGACCTGTAACCTGTAAGATTATCCCTGTCCGCTTCCCATGCCTGTAACTCCTTCTCCCCATAGAAGCAGCTGCTTATGGGGTGCAGGGCAGACGTCTGTGGGCGACCTGCTGCTCCCCCTGCTGCCGGCAGGATTGGAATAAACGCTCACAGAGGACCCAGCCCCGTCTCTGCTGAGTTGGCTCAGGTAGTGACAGGTGTCCGGACCCCTTGGTCGTCTGGTTACAGAAACATCTGGCGGACACGTAGCTGAAAATGAGACCCGGTCCAGGTGTGTCGGCTGCGGCTCTTTCACCACGTGCCCCGTTGAGGGTGGGTGGTGACGTCCAGGGGGAGAGACGGAGGGGGGTCCTCTGATGCTACAGAGGAGCCAGGGAGGGGGCAGATCTGGTACCAACTCTACAGACCTCGCTGGACAAACTCAGATTCTTCCACTGAATGTGGCCACCTTCTGTCACTTTGGGCCGTGGCATAAAAACAAAACATCCTACAAACGGAAATTCACGTTTAAAGAAATCACTTGTAATGCTGCAGAAACATTTCCTATCCTTTTTTGGGGACCAAAATAGGTTTTCAAAAAATCATCAAGAACTTTCTACTTCAAAACGGTCTCGTTGGAGACCATCCTGGGCCGCGTCTCGGGGTCCCTGTTCCTCGCTGGCCGCAGGGCTCCGGCCTTCGCAGATGGAGGGCTACACGCCAGGGTTACCCGACGGGCCATGGCCCTCGCTTACGCTTTCTTTTCTTTCTGGAAAACAGCGAGTTCACCCTGGGGCTCCTGTCCGGGTGGCACGTGCCTCACCCCATCACCCAGGGAGCTCTGCGTCCCTGATGGAAAGGAGGGAGGACCGGTCCCCGCCTAAGCTCAGGCACCAACAGCCGTGTTTTCCGTCTGGTCAAAGCCACACCCTCCCTCGTCAGCCCGTCCAGTAATTTACCACGAATGAACCCCTTTCTTCCTACAAACTCCCCGTGCCTCTTGCGTCCGCTGGGAGAGGGGACTCGAACGGCCACACCCTTCGCGCACACCCACCCGGTGTTCCATTACGTGTCCTCCCGGGACCCCGACGCACACCCTTCACGTCCTGATCAGCCGCTTGTAGAAGCGGTGGGAACGTTACACCCACCGACGTCTTGCAGGTTAAAGTGATTTCGGAAGCCCACTGATATTCTCAGGTCCAAGGTTCTAGTTTGAAGACCTCCTGGTCCCTCTGTTTCCATAGTAACGCCCGCATCACTCCATCCCTCCCTTGCTCGCCTTGCCTGGGAGGGATGATCGTGGTCTCTGCTCTGGAGGCTTGCTGCTTCCCAATCCCGAGCCTCCTCCGAGCAGCCCTCCGACCACAGACCCCCCTGCCTCGTAGAGGGTCCGGCTCCCCCAATCTTATCAGACCAGGGGCCATAGCTAGCTCTCCCGCACCCCCCGCCCCCGGCAATCTAGGCCCATGACTGTCTTATCCTAGCTGACATCCTGGCAGAAGAAACAGACACTTGGTCTGTGTCGCGTCTCCGGCACGGTGCTCCTAAAACGGAACATCCCAGGTGAGAGAGATCGACCACGTCATCTCTGTCAGGTGACGAGGTGGCCTTTGAACCTCACCCAGATGGGGCTGGCTGCTGGGAGAACCCTGCGGGCATAGAAGGTAGGAGCTCGAGCCCACCCCTGACCCCTGGGAGGAGAGAGGGGTGGGGGTGGCATGATCCCCAAGGCCAGGGAGTGCCTCAGTCCTGCTGTAAGGGAGCAGCCACCCCCACACCCGATCAGAGGGACCACGATCTCCGGGTGGTGAAGCGGGGATATTGGGGAGAGGGGGACCCCGAGGCATGGACGCCCTGCCCCTCCCCACACAGCCCTGTGCTCCTCTCCCATCCAGCCATTCCTGGGTGAGTCCCGTGTTTATCTGAGTTCTGGGAGCTGCTCCCACAAGTTAATGAAACCCAGGGAGGGGCGTGGGGCCCTGTGACTTCCAGCCGGTGGGTCACGGGGCACAGGTGAGCCTGGGGGCTGGGAGGCCTCTGAGGGGGCGGGGAGGGTGGCCTTGCAGGCCTGAGCCCCGACCTGCGGCTCTGACGCTGCTGCGGTGGACGGTGGAGTGAGCCGGGCTGTAGGACCCCCGGCCGGGGCCCAGCACTGCCTGTTGGCGGGGAGAAGGCCCCCGTCAAGGTGCAGGGGCCTCCACGGCTTACTCAGCCCGTGCACAGAGCAGGTGCTGGGCGTGCACTTACTATGTAAGCGCGCTGCTCACACACGTTATCCAGCCACGTGTCTGCTAACCCGTGTGGGTACCTCACACGCCTGGAGCGGGTTGCTGTCCAGTGAGCGTTTCCGCCCTCACTCTGGTGATGGTGTGTGCGTGGCTGCACCCCACGATCCTGAAACCAGGGAAACCCACCTGGGGGTCCATGGGCGGGTACTTCCGGCCTTTGCTTTTCCCCAGGCATTTGGTCTTCCCTCCTTCCAGCAGTTGGCACCAAAAGCCCTTCTGGGGGTCAAACCTACAAGAGACCACACATGGACGCGGTCAGAGAGATGATTACAAACGACTCGGAATCCGGTGGGGAGGCCTCCCCCAGGGACGGAGGGCCCTCGGGAGCCCTGTACGCCCAGGCGTGTAATTCCCACCTACACGTAGTTGTTCAATTGACCTGAGAGTCTAACCGAAATCAAATAAACACGATCTTATTACAGGGGAACCTCGTTCAGTTTCTGGACCCTAATGCGTTCGGAAGGCTGATCGAGAAGCGATTGGTTCCAGCATGGAATCATTTTCCCCCTAGAAAGAATGTAAATGGAACGAATCCGTCCCAGACCCCCACCTGATCCTGTGTTAACTGTCCTCACACAAAGTGCAAAGTGCTTGTCTGATGGTCTGTTTACTGTATAAATAAACACTTCTTTTCTTTTTTTTAAAAAAATATATTTTATTGATTTTTTACAGAGAGGAAGGAAGAGGGATAGAGAGTTAGAAACACCGATCAGCTGCCTCCTGCACTCCCCCTACTGGGGATGTGCCTGCAACCAAGGTACATGCCCTTGACCGGAATCGAACCTGGGACCCTTCAGTCCCAGGCCGACGCTCTATCCACTGAGCCAAACCATTCAGGGCAACACTTCTTTTCTTAAACTTCTCGAACCACCCCTTCTGGCCTTACAGGGATTTTTCCTGAATCACTGCCCTGAAATGCAGTCACTGCCTAACTGCTCCCCCTTGATCCAAACCAACACCAGCTTTGCCACCTCTACCAGTGCCTGTGACGGCTGTTGTGTGAGCACGTTCACACCTTTACAACATCACACTCCCCACGGCCTCTCCATGTTTTAAAACTGTGCTGATCGCCAGCAACAAAAGCATTCTCTCCTGTGCTGGCCGGGGGGGACGCTTCTTGTCTGCTGAGGTATCAGCCTGGAAGGGTTATCAGGTCAAACACGGAAGATGTGGCTGACAACCGAGACATGTTTTTCTGTGAACGAATCGTTCGAGCTGGGAGACGTTCGAGAAGCGAGGTTGGACTGTCTCTGTTTTAGCATCTTTGTTCTGTCGTGGAAAGACACACACACCTTTAGTCCGAGCTTACGTTGAAGTGACTAAGTTCGATGTTTTCCTTGTTCACCCATAAAGATCAAGGCCTAGTCATCAAGACGACAGCCCATGATGAAGACCTTCAACATATGAATCCTCACCCTGATTCTCTGCCCGAGTGAGTCAATGTTTCTGAAATCCTTCCATGGTCTACAGCAGGGGTCCTCAAACTTTTTAAACAGGGGCCAGTTCACTGTCCCTCAGACCGTTGGAGGGCCGGACTATAGTTTAAAAAAAAACAACTATGAACAAATTCCTATGCACACTGCACATATCTTATTTTGAAGTAAAAAAACAAAATGGAACAAATAAAATATTTGTATTTGCATGTGGCCGGCAGGCCGTAGTTTGAGGACCCCTGGTCTACAGGGCGGGCAAATGTAGGGTGACAGCTGTGAGTACTGCAAACAGAGTTTATTCTTGTATTCTTACATATTAATTACTGTATTCTTTCCCTTACAAACAACTGTAAACCGACTTTTGCCCCACCGTGTATATACAATGACTTAATGTAATAAAAATAAAATTCCGTGAATACAATCATGAATGAAACACTCTAATTTGGAAAAATACTGTATGTTTTTACAGTTCAAAAGGTTCATACCTTTCAAGGAGAGAATTAAAAGGGTAAAACACGCCCAGCCAATGTGGCTCAGTGGTTGAGCATCGACCTATGAACCAGGAGATCACGGTTCGATTCCAGGTCAAGGGCACATGCCTGGGTTGGGGGCTCCATCTCCAGTGTCGGGGGTGCAGGAGGCAGCCGATCCATGATTCTCTCTCATCATTGATGTTTCTCTCTCTCTCTCCCTCTCCCTTCTTCTCTGAAATCAATAAAAATACATTAAAAAAGGGTAAAATACAATGTGTTATATTTGGGGACAGTGAGCTGGACGAGGGCGGTTGGAGAACCTCACTTCTGTTGAAGCCGGTGACCCCAGCAGGCGGCTCAGGGCCCTGGGTCCCAGGTTTCTAAGTCGCTTTGCTCCCAGGGCTGCAGGAAGTTACAGGAGAAACGAGGTGTGGCCTCATTCACTTGTTTGAGCTCCACATGGAAGCAACTGAAAAGCAGAATTCCTGCGTAGGACTAACAAGGCAGGAACAATGAAAGCCTGAGCCGGATGAGGAGAGGCGTGCTCACAGCACCGCCCGGGACCCGCGGCGCACAGACCACGGGAGGCGTGCGGTCCTGCCACTCAGCAGAGGTTCCGAGGACGGAGTGTAATGGCCGGGGACGCAAAGTTCATTAGCGGCGGCACCTGTCGCTGCCCTGGGCCTTTGCCAGACACCGAGCCCTGCTGCTCACCGCTGCACACGTGAGCTTCAGAGTCCCCTGCCGCCTGTGGTCAGAGCTGTGGCCCCTGCGGCCCCATGTTGTCCATGAGAATTAAACACATGGCGGGCGAACGGGTGCAGGGAAGGCAGAGCCGTTTCCACCTGGGCTTTCAACCTGCTGCTTCCCACCCCCCTCCTGCCTCCGGCTGAGCTTTCATTAAGTCCCAATTCAGCGGCTGCGCAGAAGCAGCGGGAAGTGGCCTCGTGGTGCCCCGGCGGTCTTGCTGCGGGGAGGGTGGGTAACTGCGTCCCGGTAACACGCAGCGCTGGCCACGGAGCCCAGGTGTCTGCAGGCGCTGCTCCCAGGTGTGCGGGCCCCTTGCTCCCCACAGCGGCGCTGAGACGGAGCCCAGCCACCTGAGGAGGGAGAACCTTCTGGAAGCCCACAGGGCCCTGCAGGTGGGCTGTCATCACCTGGAAGCCACGCCGCTCTGCCGTCCTGGCTTCACTGATGGCCTCGCTGACGCCGAGCTTCCCGCGGCCGAGAGGGCGTTTCTCCTCCCTGGGGTACAGGGTACATCTTCCTCGCGTGTTCCCTGCGCACGGAACTGTGAGATGGAGACGCGTGGCCTCCTTGGACGACGGCTGGACAGCTTTGAGGACGTGAGGCAGCTGCCTTCCGCGTCCCTCCATGGCCCGGAGCATCGCGCGGTTGTTATTTTTCCGACGGCTGAGACGCATTAGAAACCAGCTGTTCTGTGCTTGTCGGACATCTCCCTCCCCTGGGAGGCGTGGCAGCTCACGGGACGTCAGCAGCTGTTTGCAGTGAACAGGACGGACGTGTTTCTTCTCCGTCCGCCCATGACCCTCTGGCTGTCTAATTGAAAGGATGTGATCAGGCTCCTTAGACGTCGGTCTGACATTGACTAGGCCTCCTCTCGGCCTGGGGAGGGAGGCCGGCGCACCCATTACTCTAGTAAAGGCTCTGGCTTCAGCAGGTTTCTTTTGTGTTTGTCTTGTTTACATTTTCCCACTTTTACTTACACAAGGACAGGGTTTTATTTCCCAAGCTGCCTACAGTGATGCCTCTCCAACCACATCCCCATGAGCAGTAGACTCCCCCTCCCCCCTGTGGACTTGGGCTCCCCTCCCCCCATGGACTTGGGCTCCCCTCCCCCCATGGGTTTGAGCTCCCCCTCCCCCTGTGGACTTGGGCTGGCTGTGGCAACTTGGGTGTAATCAACAGAGCATGGCATCAGTGGTGCTGTGTGACCTGTGGGCGAGGCCCACGGAGGCCCTGGCTGTCTTGGACCACTGCCCCGACGTGCTGTCCACCCTCAGAGCCCAGCCAGCACGGAGAGAAAGCCCCATGAGGGGTGTCCTCCCATTGAACTCGGCCTCTGATCCATCCCCATCCTCCAGACAGAGATGTGAGTGAGGACGAGAAGGAAGAGTCAGATTCAAGGTGGCAAAGGTCCTGAGTCACCTCCTCCTGGGGTCGCGGGATAACTCCGTCTGTGGGGGATCTGGGTTGGGGGGGAGCCTCCACCAGTGGGAGGACAGGCAGACACTCTGGCTGGGGACAGACAACACACCTGGACCTCAGACCTGAAACCCACTGGAGGGTGGCCGCAGGCTGGGGAAGTAGAGGAATGTGTTGATGAGCTGGGAGAAAAAGCCATGGAACTCCCCAGAGCAGCAGATGAAAATAAACTTCAAGAGCGTGAAGAGACCTGAAGGGACCTTGGGGACAGCAATTGGAATAACATTCTGGTCCTGGAACCAGACAGCTTCCCTGGCGAATTCTACCGAAGAAGATCCCAATCCCTCAAACTCTCCCGCGACATCGAAGAGGAGAGCTCGCTCGCACATTTCATAAGGCCCATGTTACCCCAACTGCAAACCAGGCAAGGATGCAGAGAAGCAGAATTACAAGCCCATGTCCCTGGAGAACACAGATGTAGAAATCCCCAACAAATCCAACAAGACGTGAACAGGCTCAGTCCCACACCGGCATCAAGCGGGACTCAGTCCTGGGAGACAAGGATGGTTCGACCCTCGCAGTCCCTGCAACTTTACCAAAACACTGAGAACTCACACGGACGCTGCAGGATACAATGTTAACATTTGGAAATCTGTGGTATTTCTACACACAAATCATGAACCATTGGAAAGAGATCAAGAAAACAAACCCATGTACGATTGCATCTGAAAGAATAAAATACTTAGGACTACATTTAACCGAGGAAGTGAGTGACCCACACACTGAAAAAGTAGCTTCCAGAAGATTCCAGGGCCCAGACATTCAAGTCACATCCAGACATCCACGTCTTCCCAGCGGTGGCCCCAGGTATGATGAGCAGAGACAAGCTCTCTCCATTCCCAGCCCACAGAATCCATGAGCCAATAACGTGGCTGTGGCTCCATGCTGGTGGGCTTGGAAATGGTCCCTCATGCAGCAACAGATCGCTGGACATTAGACATGATTCTCTCTGAGCAGGTTACCTCATTTAATGAATACAGAGTAAACCCAAAATCTGCCTGGCAGGCATGGCTCAATGGTTGAGTGTCAACCCAAGAACCAGGAGGTCAGGTTCAATTCCCAGTCAGGGCACATGCCCAGGTTGTGGGCTCTATCCCCAGTGTGGGGCATGCAAGAGCCAGTCGATCAATGATTCTCTTTCATCACTGATGTTTTTTCTCTCTCTCCCTCTCACTTCCTCTCTGAAATCAATCCTATATAATAAAAGGCTAATATGCAAATTGACCAAACAGCCAAACGACCGTTCGCTATGATGCGCACTGACCACTAGGGGGCAGATGCTCAATGTAGGAGCTGCCCCTGGTGGTCAGTGCACTCCCACAGGGGGAGTGCCGCTCAGCCAGAAGCCCTGAGCCAGGCTCACAGCTGGCCAGTACAGTGGCGGTTGCGGGAGCCTCTCTGGGGAGTGAGCCTAAGCTGTCAGTCGGACAACCCCCGAGGGCTCCCAGACTGCGAGAGGGTGCAGGCCCGCCTGAGGGACCCCCCTGAGTGCACGAATTTCATGCACTGGGCCTCTAGTAAAAATATAAAAAAAAGAAAAAAGAAATCTTCCCACTGTCATGGATCTCATGATGCCATCGGGGCTTTGTTCCTGACCTGTAGACCCCGCAGGAGAGAGACTAACCTTTCACCTTTAAGCCTCCATTCCTGGGGATGGAAAAAGTGGATGTAACCAAACTTTTCCTGGGAAGAACTCACAAAAAAGGCAGACACTCCGTGGATAATGAGGATGCTCCCCCGAGGGCTCTTGAGTCGCACAATGAGGTGTAAAAATGTAGCTTGTGCTAATGGTGCAGGCCCATCTGCACCCCCACCCCCACCCCGGGATCACCTATGACAGCAACTGATGGGCCCACGGGCGAGCATGAGGCAGACTCACGTCAGTGCTTCCGAGTAGTTGTAACGCGGCGTCACTCCCAGAAACTTCTGGACGCCGTCCATCACAGCAGCCGGGTCGGACCTCAGCTGCTGTCCGTCAATAATCAGCAACTGCGAAGGCAAAAATAGTCATTTAGTGAGGAACAAAGCGAAATTAACTAGACTCAGCTGCCTCCCTGGACCTCAGATGACCTGAACTAGTGGGTTAACCTGCACCACACGGAATGCATGTACCATCGTGTCTCCAGTGGGTTAACCTGCTCTACACGGAATGCATGTACCATCGTGTCTCCAGCGGGTTAACCTGCTCCACACGGAATGCATGTACCATCGTGTCTCCAGCGGGTTAACCTGCTCTACACGGAATGCATGTACCATTGTGTCTCCAATGGGTTAATGTGCACCACACGGAATGCATGTACCATCGTGTCTCCAGTGGGTTAACCTGCTCTACACGGAATGCATGTACCATCGTGTCTCCAGCGGGTTAACCTGCACCACACGGAATGCATGTACTATCAGTGTCTCCAGTGGGTTAACCTGCACCACACGGAATGCATGTGCTATCGGTGTCTCCAGCGGGTTAACCTGCTCTACACGGAATGCATAGTGATGTCTACTATGCGGCGTCTTCAAATGAACAATTAGTTTGCTGGAGGCACTATTTAGAGCCCTGAGGAACCTGACTTTACGTCAGAGGTAACCGCAGACCCTCTCTTGGTTCAGTGGCTCCGTGGGAACAGGGCCCTCCACGGGCCGTGTGCTCAGGTAACCCCCAGCCCACGAAGTCCCCTGAGCCTCCTGGAGCCCAGGGTGGAGAGCCTGGGGGTCCGGATGGAGATCACCCCATTTCCTCACAGACCCTGGCGAGGACGCAGCTTCCTGCCGCGCACAAGTGGGAATGAGGGGGTAAGCAGGGTGGACGCTGTCCTGCCATCCTCACTCCTGGCTCCACCCACCTTCCCGGGCGTCCGAGCACTTCCCACGGCGGGTGACAGTCTACTTCCCAGCCGTGTCTTCCTTGTGAGGCCGCGGGGACAGACGGCACGCGGGTAAGTGCATGCGTGGCGTTCCGTGGGCATGTGGTCCCGGAGTCTCCGGTGGGAGGACTGGCCACTGTCCGCAGGGAGACCCGAGAATGGGGTCCATGCCGCTGACCCCATGTGACCATCGTGACTGACATTAAACATGTCTGTGACTATAAATCCTACCTGTGGCCATGTTACCGCATTCTCCCGTGTATAAGACACTCCCATTAGAAGACGCCCCCACTTTTCCAACCAAAAATTAAGAAATCCATATTTTAAACATGTTGCTGGTTTTCCTCTAAGGCAGTAGTTCTCAACCTTCTGGCCCTTTAAATACAGTTCCTCATGTTGTGACCCAACCATAAATTATTTTCGTTGCTACTTCATAACTGTAATGTTGCTACTGTGATGAATCGTCATGTAAATATCTGAGATGCTGGACGGTCTTAGGTGACCCCTGTGAAAGGGTTGTTCGACCGCCAAAGGGGTCTTGACCCACAGGTTGAGAATCGCTGCTCTAAGGCTTCTTTTTTGGCATCTTAAGAGCTGTTCTTCCTGTTTTCCCCACTGTCTGATCCTACACTCAGTGGGAGGGGGTCCACATGGTCTCTCTGCAGCTCTGTTTCCATGCTCTTTTCAGAGCTGATGACATTCAGTTTGAATTTTGCAGAGTAAGACAATCGCTTACCGGTATTTATCTTTTTATTTTTTTACATCTTTATGAGCTCAGAACGCTCCGGTCCCTGTTGCAACTGCGCACTCTCCACCTCCACCTCCCATTATGGCATCAGTGATGTCAGTAACAATAAGGCCTGTTATTGGAGGAAGCCCGTTTGACAAGGTGTGGGCAGCTAGGCACCCGCGCGGCTCCCTCCTCAGCTGACTTCCGTGTATAAGACGCCCCTCGATTTTCAGTCTCACAATTTTAGAAAAAAATAGCGTCTTATACACGGAAAAATATGGTAATTCCCATTTCCTTTTAAATATATGTTTATTGATTTCTTAGAGGAAGATAGAGGGAGAGAGAGACAGATGGAAACATCAATGATGAGAGAGAATCATGGGTCAGCTGCCTCCTGCACACCCCCTACTGGGGATTGAGCCCCCTACTGGGGATTGAGCCCCGACCGGGAATCGAACCCTGGACCCTTCCGTTGGCAGGCCGGTGCTCCATCCACTGAGCCACACCAGCCGGGGCATCCATGGTGTCTGTCAGATCGGTACCATCCTGACACAGTGGACAGAGGCGGTCGGGGTCGGGACGCTACCTGCGAGGCCGCGAAGTGGGCCAGCCAGCGCTCGATGTGCACCGCGTACCAGCCGGGCACCAGGCAGCGCCGCTGCAGCGCCTTCAGGTCGGACGGGCCCCCCGGGCCGGTGGTGATCACTTCGTAGAAGTTAAACCGCAGGGCAGCTGGGTCTTCGTGCGACCGCTGGTGCTGGAACAGAGAAGCCCCTGTCAGGTGAAGGCCTCCGTGCCCCACCGGCGTCCATGCGCCTGGGTGTGAGGCGAGTGCCTCCCCCATGTCACGGAGTCAGACAGACGATGGGTCGGTTCTAGAACAGCGGTTCTCAACCTGTGGGTCGCGACGCCTTTGGGGGTCGAACGACCCTTTCACAGGGGTCGCCTAAGACCATCGGAAAACACATCTATAATTACATATTGTTTTTGTGATTCACCACTATGCTTTAATGATGTTCAATTTGTAGCAATGAAATTGGGGGTCACCACAACATGAGGAACTGTATTAAAGGGTCTCGGCATTAGGAAGGTTGAGAACCATTTTCTAGAATAAAAATGATGGTGAAACATGCGGAAACGGACACCCAGCCCCCACCCCCTCCCGGCTTTTTGCCTCTGATTCCAGAATTTGCCCTGGGCAGACCTGTCCCAGCAAGGCCAGCGCCCTCTGCTGGTTCCATGGCCACAGGACAGCCTCCCCCACCCACACCCAGCTCTTCAGGGGACACAGAAGGTCCCCACTTATGTCCTCGGTAGGTTCCTGGAACTATGGCCACACACGGGAGCATGAAGCCTGTTTTACCAGGGCTGACACTCACGCGTTAGGTCCCGGGCGTCACACCCAGAGCCAACGAGAGGGCGAAGGGCAGAATGTTACCCCAGGACCTGCGGCCTTTGGTCACCACCTGGGGGCCCTGGGGTAGTCTCGTCCCCCTTGACCCTGTTTCCACGGGTTCTGATGACTTCAACCCTGGGCCCCTCCTGATCCTGCCCCCCGCCCGTCCCCCCGATTCCACCTGCTGTCCTTGCACCGTGGCCCCGCTCCGTTCCCATGGCGACCGCTCCGACACCCGCCCGCACCTGGTACCAGGAGTAGGCCCTGTCCGAGGGGTCGATGAGGATGGTGATGAGCTTGGCCTTGGGCACCAGGGAGGCCGCCCGCTTGGGAGCTTCTTCCGAGTGGAAGTAGTTGGCGCTCTTTTCAAACAGGAAGTCGCTGGTGACATTGGCCGGCGTTGGGAAGAAGTCCATGTACCTGCAGTGGGGAGATGCCGTGTGACGCTCCCGCCAGGTGGTGGCTGTCACTCACTCGCGTCTTCATGTCCCCCCCACCGGGTCCTAAGTGGCCGTGTTCTCACTGCCGGGCACTGGCTGTGCCGTGTGGCTGTGGGATGGCCTGTCGGGGAAGGATCGGCCGGGGCAGGTGTGACTATCAGGGACACGGTTTTATGTGACCATCAGGGATGCGGTTTTGTGTGACCGGCAGGGACACAGTTTTGTGTGACTATCAGGGACGCGGTTTTGGGGACCTGTGTTATTACCACGACAAATCTCAGCTCACTATCATCCCATCAGCCCTGTCTCTGTGGCTGATGAAGACACACATCACGGGGTCCAGAAAGAAACCCCCTCCCGGTGCGTCTGTCCCCGGGAAGACACCTTATACACCCGGTTCACACGCTCTAGGGCAAGCACGTCAGACTTCGTTTATCTGACCCGTGTTAGCCTTTGAGTTTGACATGCGTGCTCTAGGCGCAGTGACGGTGAAATAATAACACGCAAGGAGGATCTGAAAGCTCCTCATGCATAATTCATATGGAAAGTACCCCACAGTCCTCTCTATTTCCTCATATGCATTGACCAGAAAAGCGTTACCATCATGGCACCGTCCACATCACATGACGGGCCACACTGACTAAGAGGGTCCATTTCTAATTCATGTGGTGGGTGACACGGGTTCCGCGGTTCTGCGGGCGCTGTGGGCACGGCACCGCTGGGCCGCGCGTGGGCAGGCGCCGGTGCATGCGCGTGACGGCATTGTCCTCACCAGTCAATCCCCTTGTGGTAGTTGTTCCCGTTGAAGAACTGCACCTCCTCGAAGGTGCGGGGGCTGGGCAGGCTGCCGACGATGGACGGGTGCATCAGCAGGAACAGGTACAGGGCTGTGGTGCCTGGCGGGGGGGGCGGCGAGAGGAGAGGAGAGGAGCGTTACTGCAGCAGGATCTCAGGTCAAAGAGCGCATCCAATGCTTTAAAATCTTATTATGATTTTTTAATCTATTGTTATTGATGTCGGAGAGGAAGAGAGAGGGAGATAGAAACATCAACGGAGAGAGAGAATCATGGATCGGCTGCCTCCTGCACGCCCCCCACTGGGGATTGAGCCTGGGTGTGTGCCCTTGACTGGAATTGAACCCGGGACCCTTCAGTCCGCAGGCGGACGCGCTAGCCACTGAGCAACACCAGCCAGGGCGCGACATTCAATCCTTTAAAGAGTCAAAGCAATTTTCCTAAAGTCAGTGAGGCGAGTTTCATGCGGCAGCCACCCAAGTGTGTTTTCATTCGTGTCCACGGCTCTGTGGACCTCAACACGTGATTAAAGGTCAGCGCCGAGTATGGGCCAAGGCAAGCAGGCTGGCGAAACAGCCGGGGAGAACCTCAGAAATCGGGGTTCAGTTCCCTCCTGGGCCGGGCGCGTGGCCGCAGCATCAGGGGCGTCCGGCCCAGCACCAGGCCCCGCTGGGTCCCCGATCAATGCCGTATCCAGGTCGGTTTCATAAAATCAAACTGTCCAGCAGATGCTGACTGTGCCAGTCTGTGCACATCCCTGCAGGGAAGGCCAGAAACACACCTCTGTGCCCCGAGCTGAAGGCGTGTATGGGGACGTGGGTCATGTGACAGGCCCTACCTCATGGGGAGACGGGCCCCACCATGAGAGCAGAGCAGGGAGCTTTCCCACCCATGAGGAACTGGGCAGTCAGGGAGGGCTCCCCAGCAGAGGCATGCTCTCAGGTTGGACCTTAGAAACACAGGTGTTCCCCGAAAGGTTAAAGCAGGGGGCAGACTTCTGGAAAGATGGCCACTTGAGCGTCCGGCCCTGGCGGGAGGGCAACCAAGTCTGCTGAGAGCTGAGCAGACCGGCTGACAGGCCCAAGGGACATGCAGAGGGAGGCTCAGAGGCTGGCCCGGGCCTTCGCTGTTCCTGAGCTGGGCAGGGCTGAGGCCACAGCAGAGGACCTCGAAGTGATGGTCCGCGTGGCTCCCACACACAGAGCTGCCTCTGGGAAAGGCTGTCCCTTAGGGACACGCTGGACCCTAGACATGGTGGGCTCCTGGCCCAAGAGGGCGGGAGCTGGGCTCCACACGGAGCTGCAGGGCCGTGACCGTGGCCGCGGGGGGCTGGGAGCAGGAAGGACAGAGGACTGGCGTTGGGTTCTATGCAGCTCTCACAGGAGCCGAGGCCACTGGGCCTCCGTGTGATGAGGTCACCCCTTCGAGCCTCCCAGCTCTGGGGCCACGGGATGGAGTGGAGGCGGGATGGCTAAAGCAGGGCTCCCGCGAGGCTAGGGGCCCGGCCACCGCGGGTGGGAGACAGGTGAGACGTCCAGACGGGGCTCCTGGGGACACAGGAGGCGCATGTCAGTAAACGCTCCAGGGGAGGTCTGATTACGAATTCAACGGATTTTAAAAATGAACAAATGTGAAACGAAGTCATATAGACCCAATAAAGAGATGGAAGGAGTCAGAACGAGTTAAGAACTGAATCCGAGGCCCGGAGGACCGGGCGGGAGAGCGAGCTGGACACGCTGAGAAAGGCAGCCGTGGGCTGTGAGGGCGGCGCGTGGAGACGGATCGGACTTGTCGCTGGAAATCACAGGCGTCCGGCAAGGAGGAAGGTGAGGAGGAGGCGTGTTCCAGGAGGTGGTGTGGCAACTGGGGGGGGAACAGGGGTCCAGGTGGGTTCCTTCTGAGTGTGTTTCAGGATGGAAGCCACAGGACAACGCTTACCTGGTGATGAGAATGAGGCACGTGTGTATGCATATGGGTGCACACATGTGTGCATGCATGTACTTGTGTGTACACGTTTGTGTGCACACACACAAGTGCACACCCGTGTGGCCACACGTGTATGTTTGTGCATATGTGCACACACATGCATGTGTTCTGTGTGACCCACATACATGTGCACACACGTGCATGCACACATGAGTGCATGCCTCTATGTTCACATGTCCATGTGCATGTGTATGCACAAGTGCACATGTGTGTTCATGTCCATGTATGCACACATGTTTGTGTCTGCACATGCACGCGCATGCATATGTTGTGCATCTATGTGCCCATATGTGCACGTGTGCACGTGTGCATGTGTGTGCATGTGTATGAATGAGAGGCTGCCTGAGTTTTGAGGCACACAGAGAGCTGAGGGTAGTGATACTTTAACATCCCTTAGATGCTGGGAGCAGGTCACATATTAGCATCTAAGAGTTTAGGGCGCTGTCTTTGCGAGGATGAACAACGGAAAGACAAGGGAACTTTTTGTTGTTGTTGAATATCGAAGGATGAATACATTTGTAACGCCCCCAGTAGTGCGCACACATGTTCCCTCGCTGTGATGTTCACAGGATGCACCCGTTCCCCCTGCTCCCCAGGAAGTCAGAGCCCCTGTGTTCTGAGCCCCCTCCCACGGCCCCGGGAGCAGGGGGACCCGAGGCTGGGACCGAGCAGGGGCTCGAATACACTGGACTTTCCGACGTCACGTCAGTCCCGGTCCAGCCCCAGCAAGTGGGCCGGGCTTCCCCTATCTCCGGCCCCCCACCCCCGCCCCAGCGCCCGTGTGTCCCCACATTCACTCCATCCAGGCCCGGGGTCAGCACTTGGGGAGGACACAGAAACCCTTGGGCCCGGGAGGCCGCTAAGAAGCGTTAACCTCCCTGCAGTCGCCGCCCTGAGTCCTGTTGGTGGCCAGGCTGCCGGGAAGTGGGCCCTGACCTCGAGACGGGACGGCCCCCTGCAGGCGTCCGGCTGGGAGCGAGCGTTTAGAACCGCTGCCTGCGCGTGGCCCGGAGGAAGTCCTCTCCGCTGGTCACGTCTCTGACCCGAGTCCTGAGGGGCCTCCATGCACAGCACCCCCCACCCCCAGGACCAGGACCCACCACCCAGCCAGCCCCGGGCACCCCCGCTGCTAGGAGCATCATTCCCTCTCCTGATATTTAGATTGTGGGAGAAAGGGCAGAAAGCCTGATGATGCCATTAATTCATCACCATGCGACAGGTGGGCTGCTTTTTTCTACTTGAAATGATATCCAGACTTCTGGGGAGGAAGGTTGGGGGACCATAGAGCCTGAAGCAGCACCACTGAGCTCACTTGCTCCCATTCTTTTATGATTCTCTAGCCAGGGGCTCACATACCTAAGGAATGCCTGTTCACAGAAATGTGCTATTTTGCTTTCCTAAAGACTGACACTTGTTCTTTGCTGAAGACAGTTTATCAAGCAGTGTAGTAACTTTTATATCAATAGGACTACCAGCTAGGTGCACTGTTAAGGGAAGATTCTATAT